CACTCACACACTCACTCACACACACAATCAATCACTCACTCACTCGCTCACTCACACGCTCACTCACTCACACGCTCACTCACACACTCACATTCACTCATGCGCTCACTCACACACACACACACACTCGCTCACTCACACACACACGCTCGCTCGCTCACTCACTCACTCACACACACACACAATCACTCACTCACTCACTCACTCACTCACGCACTCAGACACTCACTCACTCACACACTCACGCACACACTCACGCACGCACGCACGCACGCACGCACGCACGCACTCACTCTCTCACTCTCTCACTCACACACTCACTCACACACACACTCACTCACTCACTCACTCACTCACTCACTCACTCACTCTCTCACTCACACTCACACTCACACTCACTCACACACACACTCACTCACGCACGCACGCACTCACACACTCTCTCTCTCTCACACACACTCACTCACTCACACATTCACAGACACACACACACACTCACTCACACTCTTGTGTGACTCGTGTCAGCTGGTGTGTCACTTCCTGTTGGGTTTGATCTCATTTTCTGCTCCCTTTCTCTCGGCAGATGCTCATGTTTCCAGAAGGAACGACGACTAATGGCCGAGCTCTGATCAAATTCAAACCCGGTACGACAAACAAATTAATAATTTTTTTAACAAATTAATAATTTTAAATAATTTATCAAGCATGCATTAAATCGATCAAAAGTGTCAGTAAAGACATTTATAATGTTATAAGATTTCTATTTCAAATAAATGCTGTTCTTTTGAACTTTCTGTTCATCTGTGAATCCTGAAAAATACAATGTATCACAGTTTCCACAAAAATATTGTGCAGCACAACTGTTTTCAACGTTGATAATAATCAGAAATGTTTCTTGAGCAGCAAAGCAGCATATTAGAATGATTTCTGAAGATCATGTGACACTGAAGACTGGAGTAATGATGCTGAAAATACAGAGCAATAAATTACAGTTTAACAGATATTCACATAGAAAGCAGCTGTTTTAAATTGTAATAATATTTCACAATTTTTACTGTATTTCTGATCAAACAAATGCAGCGCTGGTGAGCAGAAGAGACTTCTTTCAGAAATTCTTTTTTTTGATAGTGTTTTTGAATATTCTCATATCTATAGCTACATGCTAACGGCAGTAATCTCTCGACAGGAGCGTTTCTGGCCGGTGTTCCCGTTCAGCCCGTCTTGCTTCACTATCCCGGTGAACCGGTGAGTCTGGGAACAGCAAATGCCTCCCACCGCGTCTGCGGCTAAAATGAACGGAAACCACTGGATGACTAAATATGAGCAGGACAGTGAGACACGGAGAGCTGCTGAACGAGATCAAAGAGCACAAGACTAATAAACCAGTAAAATGACACTGAAACGCTTCCTTTATGCATGATATATAACATGAAACATCTCTTGAATATGTTTGCAGGACACGGTTCGCTGGACCTGGAAAGGACTGACGTGGTGAGAAGGAATTTGTGCTGTTCATAACCGACAATAATCAATCAGAATAAGTAGTTCTTCTAAGTCTAGCTGTCTGTGGTTTCGTCTGTAGGCTCGGCACGCTGTGGCACACCACCTCTCAGATCTACACCAGCGTTACCGTGGAGGTGGGCGGGCTTCATTTGATTGACATGAGTCGGAGCCAATCACTGCTAGAGTCTGGCTCAGTAATTGTTCTTTGCTCTGATTGGTTGTAGTTCCTGCCCGTCTACACGCCGTCACAGGAGGAGAAGCAGAACCCGGACTTATACGCCGAAAACGTACAGAAACTCATGGCCAAGTACGTCATGCGCCGTCTGCGGTCTATCTAGGCAGATCCCTACGTAGGCAGCATCAGAAACTATTAAAGCAATGCTTTACGCAGACAGCGAGTCCTCATGACATGTTATTTCAGTGCAGCTTGTCATCATCATCTTACTAACAACACAATTCTCCATTACATTTTTGTACGGTCATCTTGGCCAGGACTCCCTGGAAGAAGAGATTTCTTTTATCTCAATGGGACCTTCCTGGAAAAATAAAGGATACACACACACACACACTATACAGACACACACACACACACACACACACACATTATACAGACACACACACACACACATACTATACAGATGCACACACACTATATAGATGCGTACACACACACACACTATACAGACACACACACACACACACATACTATACAGATGCACACACACACTATATAGATGCGCACAAACACACACTATATAGATGCGCGCACACACACACACACTCGCTCAATCTCATCAAAAATTCTCCTCCTTCGCCGTGTTTTTGTTCATTTCTTTCATTATTTCATGCGATCCAAAACTCTCCGTTCAAATCCTTCCTCTTCCCGCTCTCCCGGAAATCTGCCATCATTTGCCGACGGAGAGCAAGAAATTACCGTAAAAAAAAAAAGCATGCAGAAAAGCGCATGTTTTCACCAGTCAGGAGCAGTTTGAATGATTTTGCTGGTGCAGTCAGGAGCATGACTCCAGCTTGGTGTGATGGCGGTTTAAAGGGCTAAATCCTGATGTGGTGTTGGTGTGTGTTGGCAGTGGTACGACTCTGACCAGGACGGGCTGCTGAGCGCAGGAGATCTGTCCGGTCTGATGGGGGCGCTGGTGGGCATCCCTCAGCACGAGGTGGAAGAGATGTACTCCGCGCTGACCACCAGGGGGCGACCGACTGAAGGTAAACATCACTGAGCTGATCACGCTCATATTTAAGTGCGTTATGCTAATCGATTACATATTGATCTCCTGAAGCTTCTCTGCAAGACTTGCTGATGACGCATCCAGTTTATCGGAAAGTCCTTCGCGAGTATCTCCACTCCAGCGGGCTTGCAGACGGAAATCACAATGGGATTCCCAACGGGAACAACAACGGGATTTATAGTGTTAGTCCTCCGACTGCGCAAGCGTTAACTAGCATGGACTGTGAGCGCAAGAGAACGTCATAGTGAGGCTACGTTTACATGATTTCTTCCTTGTGTCTTATTCTTAATTTGTCCTGTGGAATGATACTGTGAGAATATACCTAATTGATGTGCCTTGGAACGAATACCTATATATATATATATATTTTTTTTTTATCATGAAGTCTGAAGGATCTGTGTGTGTATTTAAAAGTGTATATTTTAAGCTTTGTATATTGGAAAAACCAAAGATGTACTTGTACTGCGAAGGAATTCTGCCGAAGTGCCATATTTTATGCTTTAATATATTAAACTTCTTAAATAAAGACGTGACGTTTCCTGTGGTTTGTGTTTATGGTTTATTATGTCTCAAGTGGTCATTTCGTCCACCTTTTCTGAAACGTTTGGTCACGTCTTCGTAATCGCGGGCACGCTTTGCGACAAAAATCTGTTTCTTGCGCGCGTGCTTCGCGTTTCGTCGCTGATTTTCGTTGAGTCTTTCCACGTGGGGTTTCAGCTGTTTTTAGCCTCCTTGCGACAGGCAGCGTCATCTTTTGTTGCTTCCGTCGTCTCTTGTGCGTTTTATTTTTGTGTACGTTATTTTCCTCAGTTTTGTTGGGCAATGTCTGTTTGGTACAAACACGTCTCGTTCTCTGGGAATCGTTGGGAGGGTCTGAATCCATGTTATTGTTGTCTTTTGCACGCCCTACATGCATACATTTCTGTGTTTTTTGCCCAACTTCCATGTTTTTCTCTCCGCGGTGCTCCACTCTATCATCCACCGGGGGTTTTGGTGCTTCTGGGTCATGTTTTATGGCACGAGGGAATGTTGCATGATGGGAATTGTAGTTCTGAAGACCGTTGGATTGAGGTGCGCAGTCGAGTTCAGAAACATACAAAGCCTCGTCTTTTTGGTTTCCATCAGCTTCTAGACCAAAGTCTTGAAGATCAGGATGAGCAGTTTCTTGGACGGAAGCATTTGGATCCGTTTGGGAACTTTGGGCCGCGGGATTCGCTAGCAGAGGTTGAGTTGATGTTCGAAACACATTTTGGCCATTGATATTATCCCGAAATGGCACTAATACGTTCTCCATCGTGTGGTTTGTGGCTTCAGAGGAGCTGAAATCATGTTGGACAGCAGACGGGGCTCCAGAAACCGCTGTGCGAGTCCAATCCGAGCACCCAGCGACTGGCTCGGGAATCATACTGGAAAGTGTGTCCTGGGAATCGTCTGAGGAGAGCAGAGAGCTGATGTAGTCCATGTCGAAACCAGCCTGAAAGAGAGAAAAACGCACTTTAACACGACTCCAGGGCAACACCATTCATTTGTGAGATTGTAGTTGACCTCAGTCGTGTTTTCGAGCAGCTGGTCGAGGAACGGCCCGCACACATCCTCCTCTTCGGCTGCTGTGACCTCTGACCCATCGCTGACCTTTGACCCCAGAGCGTCCATGAGCTGCGAGTATTCGGCCAGCGCGCCCTCTGCGAGATCCTGGACGCCCTTTTTAGATCTTTTACCCGCTTTCTTCACTTTCCCTGAGCGTCGACCTGAAGACGGACAGATCTCTGGTCATGTGACGAGACTCAGTGTTTACTCTCTATTTTAATCATAGATGAAGATTAGCTTGGAATGTAAAATAAATATTATAAAACAGATAGTTCCGGTCCTTGATTCTGATTGGCTGAGCCACGTTCGAAGCTGTTGTAAATGACTCTACAAAGTAACATACACCTTTGTTTACGTTTGTCTGTTGCTCGGCAACCACTTTGTTGCAACCGCAACTGATTCTGAGGAACTACATTGTTTGGTGGAAGAATAATGGTTTTATTATCATTACACTATTTGCTCTGTTTTATTTTGTGAAACCTTACTACGTATATGGAATAACCGTTTTATAAAAGCAATAAGCTCCGTGAAGCCGTGGTTTACAGTGAATTTTCGCGTCGTACCTAACAACGCCCCTTAGCTGTTATAAATTCACTGTAAACCACGGCTTCTTGGGGATTATTGCTTTAATCAGTCAGCAAGTAAATTAAACAATGGTGCATGTATTTACGTTTTTTTTTTTTTTCAAATATGACGCCCAAGAGCAAAAGTGAAATGTTTGTTTTATTAATCTTGACCCATAATCCTGACCTTTGTGTTTGTCTGTCTGAGGAATAGTCGGATGATCTTCCGCTCTGTTGGCGCTCTTGTCCTGTTTTTCCATCTCGGAGAACCTACAGGAGAATACAAACTTCCAGATAAACTCCCGAAAGACTTCCAGTAGCAATCTTCATTCTTATTCTGAGATTCGCTCTTTATCCACCGTTTCCACAATCAAGATGGCATCAAACTAACACACAATTACTGTATAGTAATTAATATAAATGTGAGTAACTAACAATCCTCCATCATCTCGGTGTCAGAAGTGTGTGTGATTTGTTAGTTTTTCAGCTCACATCCTGGCAGTGTTGTAGTACGGCTGGCGTTCAGAGACGGAGATGTTCTTCCACTCCTGAACGGCTGCGTTCACGGCAGCAGTGAACGGGAGAGCCGGACGGTGAATTACACGTCTGAGAGAAATAACACAAGACAGATCTTATCAAATAAGAAAAAGTCTTAACTCCCTAACTATCACCCCCCCATTTTTTAAAATCGGCATTAAAAGGCATTAAAAATTAAAATATCAAAAAGTTATAGAAGTTTAAATTTACTGTAAAGAAAATGCACTGTACATTTTTTATTATATTTTATAAAAATAAATATTGTACGTAACAGGCGTACGTACTCTAAAATTGCTAAAAAAAAAAAAAAAAAAGTAAAGCCTTGTGTCTAAATAAGTTATGTTCCAAATTTGAAGTTGATATGAAAAAAAAAGAGGGTTCTGTGAGATTTTATTTAGGGCGTTATACCACAAACAGCCACCGGGTGCCTTAAACGCTAATTTTTTTAATGCATTTTTTCTGTCACAAATGTCTAGATTTCTCTAGAATTGTCTGTTTACAGGAACAACAAAAAAGCTAACTATAATGATAAACACGGGGGAAAATGAATGAATAGTATGCAAATACTTAAAAAACAAAAACGACTAAATAGCCTAAATAATAAAAGAATGAAATATGCAATATGAAATCAAAAATGCATACATACACATGTATACCTTTTATTAAATATATAAACATTTGTTATAAAATAAATAAAACGCAGTGAACAACAATGAAGAAATTGAAAAATAATTAAAAATGCATGTTAATAAGATTCTAAAATATCAGGTAAATACCTGTATCGCGTACCTTGTCAGTGTCGTGCGCTTTGCTTATATATATATATTAGTATTTATAGAGTTTTAGCTTTTAGTTTTAATTACTTTTTCTTATTTGTAAGTCGCTTTGGATAAAAGCGTCTGCTAAATGACTAAAAGTAAAAGTAAAATAAATATGATCCTAAATAAAAAATGAGTAAATAATGAACAAATTAAAGTTGTATGAATTGTAGGAATTATGAGTAAAAATTGAATAAACGATAAAATAACAATTGATACGCGTGCTATGTTATATACTAAATGCTAATGAATAGCCTAACAAAGAAGAAAAAATACAACTTAATTTCGCTAACGTGCCTGCACTTTCATCATTTTGGGCTTTTGTTATTGTTTTTGATGTGAACGGGCCGTTATATCGAACCTGAAAATACACAACTCCGTGCATCAATGAAGAGTTACTGTGTATTCCAGCAACATGCTTCTGCTTTACCTGAACGGCAAGAAATCGTAATAATCATACCGTGCAAATAAATCACTGAAAACCATAGTGTCAGTGTGTGATCTGCAGTGTCACTGCAGTGTGATTTGATGAGTGTGTGAGTGTGTGTGTGTGTGAGTGAGTGAGAGTGTGTGTGTGTGTGAGAGTGAGAGTGTGTGTGTGTGAGGTGTGTGTGAGTGAGTGTGTGTGAGTGTGTGTGTGTGTGAGTGAGAGTGTGTGAGTGAGAGTGTGTGTGAGAGTGTGTGTGTGTGAGAGTGTGAGAGTGTGTGTGTGTGAGTGTGTGTGTGTGAGTGAGAGTGTGTGTGTGTGAGTGAGAGTGAGTGAGTGAGTGTGTGTGTGTGAGTGAGTGTGTGTGAGTGTGTGTGTGTGTGAGTGAGAGTGTGTGTGTGTCTGCTCACGTGAAGAAGCAGGCCAGAGCCTCGGCGTCTGAAGCACTGGAGCAGAAGAGCCTCGCCGTCTCACCGAGTCTCTGCCACAGTCTGAAGGAGTCCTGAGCCTCTCCATCCGTCCGGGTCGGCTGGGGCATGTGTGGTGGGGCACGGGCCACTAGAGCGCTGAAGCTGGCCTTGAACGGGAGGTTAACGTTTAGCTGAGGCGTATGAATGGGGCAGAAGGGATTGTGACGAGGCGCTGAAGCATTACTGAGGACATTAGGGCTGAAGTGAGGCATTAAAACAGGCCACGCAGGGTTAAAACGAGGCGTTATGTGAGGATAGAGCCGAGGTGCGTGAAAAGACGGGTTCATGTCTGCAAAAAGAGCTACTGGTTTGACGTTTAAAGAAGGAGAAGAAGGGTTTTGTGTAGGGAAATGTAGAAGATTTGGAGGATGGCAGATGTTATTAACATGAGCTGAAGATGAAGCACGAAGGGTGTTTGATGAGACCGAGGGTCCAGGATCTTCAGATGTCGGCTGAAAGCCTTGATGGCTTTCCTCAAGCTCTTCGTGAAGCTGTGTGAGCGAATGGACCGGCCGAGACGTCTGAGAGGTTCCCACCAACTTCATTTGAGGAGCAGCAGCCGATGTTTCTGGGAGAAGAAGCACGTTTTCACGTAAATCATCCATTCTGCCTGGAAGAGGAGCATCAGTGAACTCTTTTCTCATTCCTGCGTGCGTCTTCTGTGGGTTCAGATGCTGTTGTTGGTAGTGAAGCGGTGATAACACGGCCCCTCTCTCTCCAGTAACTGTCTGGCAGTGCTCCACCGGGGACTCTTGATGTGTGTTTGATTGAGAAAGAGATGAAAAAGCTTGCTCTGGTGAAAATCCCTCACCGTAGAGTGGTTGAAGGTGCTCCATCTAAAAACAGAAATGTGTTCTGAAAAAAAAAAAAGTTGTATAGCTGTATTGTAGCTCATTGGTATCGTATTAGTTTTATTTCAATCTTTGCAAGTAATCAGTGGTAGCCATTAAAGCAGCACTATGTAACTTTTTCTGTGTTCGCACTACGGTACACTTATAATAAGTACTTATATTCGGACTATTGTAGGCTGGTCACCGCTGCGGAGTAACACATACCTGCGTGAATCGCCAGAGACATACACTTAGAGAAGTAGCTCCGGTTGGAATGTTCTTCCGCGGGATGTGTGCAGTTCTGTTTATTAACCGCTAGAGCGCCAAAAGTTACATAGTGTTGCTTTAATATTAACCCATATACAGCAGTAAAATGAATCATATCAAGAATTTTTACCATTTGAATTATATTTTAAAAATTTAACTGACATCGAAGTTTAAAATTTGACCCTTTCTAATTTTATGGGAACAGAAACTAATGTGTTTCTGGAATACAACTTAGCTTAAAAAAATCAAATGAACGAATCATCGAATTTTAGCTTATAATTTTATAATGTTTAATATTACCATAGCTTTATTTGAATCCAGCAAGCAATCAGTGGTAGCCATCAAAAAATAAATAGTAAAAAAGTCAATATATAAAGATTGTGAAGAATGTTTACCGTTTGAGTTATGTTCAGTAGAATACAGCTGACGCTGAAGTCTCAAGTTGAAACAGTGCGAGGCTGAAGAACTGCTTCATTTCTGAAGTGAATGTGAGGAGAGTCGCGCAAACAGACAGTTGCTCGCTGCTGAAATGCAGATTTAAACGGCACACTTTTTAAAAACAAACACACTTCATCATGTCCATTAGAAAAACGATTAATTAATTAATACTGCAAAATATGTTATGCTATGATTAACAAGTAGTGTCATTTATATGTAACATGATATTTATTGACATTAAGAATTACTACTGTTATTATGTCGTACAGTAGGTGGCAGATTTTCTGTACACACGTGACCTTTTTAAAAACTCCATTTCCCATCCTCCTCTGCGCCGCGGTGCTCCGCACTTCCGGTTTGCCCTGGAGTCGTTCGCACACGTGTGTGGTTTAGTCCGCTCTGAATATAAACCTGGTTTCAGATCGGATCTCGGAGAATTAAACCGTTCGGCTTTATAATCCGGTGTGTGATCATGTTCCTGCAGTATTATCTGAACGAGAGCGGCGACAGGGTTTATACTCTGAAGGTGAGTCCGCTGTAAACGCCGCACATTTGGCCTTAAAGCGGCATACACACCTAATATAGCACGTGTCCTAAACATCGCATTCCAGTGTGAGAGCTGTATTCTAGCGATAGCATATGTCTCAGCGTGTTTTTGTTAGTGAATAAAGGGGGCTTCGGCTGATATAACACTTTTTTTTGGTTCCCGGAACGTTGCGGGAGCGTTAGTTTATTGTTGTCTGAATGTTCTCATTCGGTTCTCCACAAAATAACCAGATGGGAACGTGCTGTGTTTGCTGGGATGGTACTGAATGATTACCATAGTAACTTACCATGGGGCTTTAACCAGTAATGAATAATATTAGAGTAATAATACATGTACAAAATATAACATCAAGCAATTTTTTATTTTTTCCTGTACTTTAAAAAAAAAATTTTTTCAAAAAACATGCTGATGCTATGCTACTCTTTGTGTTATTTGTTATTGCATGCTATCAGAGATTTGAAATGAAGATGGTATAAATTATTTTTTTATGTTTTTCTGCAGAAACTGGACCTGAGCGGTCAGCCCACCAGCTCGGCGCATCCGGCCCGCTTTTCACCGGATGACAAGTTCTCCAGACACCGCGTGACCATCAAGAAACGCTTCGGCCTGCTGCTCACGCAACAACCGCGGCCCGTGCTCTAACGGACTGACCATCAATGGACTTTCATGCAATTCATGTACACGTGTTTTTTTAATTTTTTTTTATTGAATAATGTGGTGTTTTCTTAATTTTACTAAAAGTATGGCATCATTTTTTGTCGTTGACTCGGTTCATTCAGTTTAGTTTATTCACATTGTAAACATGTGAATGAATCTTCATGTGGAATAAAATAAAATGAGTGATTTGTATATTTGTGTTCCAAATTTATTTGGAAATGTAAAAATTTGCATTTTTAATGTTAACAATTACATTAAAAAAAAAAAAAGAAAGAAAACAGAGGAAATTAAAAATGAAAAGCTAGTAATAACAGGATGACGCTGAGAACTACATTTCCCTGCGACGCATCCTGCGTGCCTACGTCACGACGCCAAAGAGCGTGCGTCGCGGGAGCGCGCTTTACGCCAGTAGTCAGTCAAACGTGCTGATTTTGATGGTCCGATACCGGAGCGATAATCGGACCGGATCTCCTCCGTCCAGCTCGAAGCCGGTCTTCAGCGGACCCGCGGCGGCAGTCTGGAGGTAAGCGAGCGTCGCTGACACGAGTCGTTCGTGAGCGCGTGATGTGACCGTTAATGCGGGTCTGTGTGTTTATGCGCTCGAACCTCACGCGCGCGTCTTCTGAGGTAACCCGGTTTATTAGTTATATAAAGAGTTTGTAGCGATAAATATGCGGCAGTCCGGTTGATATGAGCCGCTGTCAGGTGTGTGTCTGTGATCTGATGATAATTGGCTTAATGGAGGCGCTCAGGTGGCGTTTGTGTCTCGAAGAAAGTGTCGCAGGAACTAGCGGCCGGTTCGTGTCGCGAAACCGAGTGCGCTCCCTACATAGACAGCAGTGCGAGCGGCACAGTAGCCAAACCCCGCGAGCTGTTTTTGGGCGACATACTTTAAGATACCTGCTCTGGTGGTACAGTGATGGTAATTACCACGACGCCCCAAAAGGCCGTCAATGTAAATGACTCACTGCGGTGCCCAAAAATACTGTCTCACAAGCAGGGCCGGATTTACCTCTTTTCGTAACATAAACAAAACAAATTTTTGGGCCCCCTTCCCTATTAATATAATGGTCCCAGGGGCGTAGCCTCCATTTCAGAAGTGAGGGGGACAGAAATACTCGTGTATAGTCAACTTTAATTGTTCTCTAATTTCTAGCTTTTAATTGACTTATAAATCAGATAACTGCTGGACAATAACCAATAATAATGATTTGTTTATATACTACAAACACTATTTTATCGCATAATAAAGCAGAATAGTTTCTATACTGTAATGAATGCTATGTCAATTAGCACTGTTCATATACTTTATTTATTACCTGGAGATGACTTGAAAAACACAAATAAACCATATATTGTCACAATCGTATGTTTAATGTCTTCATGTTTCCAAACGTTTCTGTTTTTCTGCGAAAAGTAAACAACTGTTTTCATACAGAAATATACGCCTTTGCTCAGATCATGCACAGACTATCCTGTCTCTTTGAATTTAAATCTATATTTATTCACACCGGCTCTTGAAAACCTCTATGGGAACACACTTGCCCGAAAAAGTGCGGGGGACGAATTTACGTGATATTAAAATCGTTTGATCTACGCCCCTGAATAGGCCTAATATTACCATCCAAGCAAACAAAAATATTTCTTGATCAGTGGAAACGTTACAGTGTTTTCTATCGCAATAAGCGCTTGCGTTCAGTCAGTACAAATCGAATTCTACATTTTTCGATTTTTATTAACTGAACGCACGTGCTTATTGCGATAGAAAGCACTGTTACGTTTCCACTGATTAAGAAATATTTTTGTTCCTCTTGTGAACTAAGAAAGACCATTCCATTAATAGACGCGCCGTACCACTTCGCGAGTTATTTCTCTAAAAAATGTTTACGGCCAGGAGTCACAGCCACACATCAAGACATTATTCAGATGATTTGTTTCAAGACATTTGACATGTTTCCGTCCTGAAATGTGTTGAACTATTTTTACGCACCTCATTCCAAACCTTCCATTGCAAATTCCAGAACGTCACTAATGCAGTTATTAGAGAGAGAGAGAGATTGAGTGCGCGTGAATACCTGCGTCTCTCAGCAGTGTTCAGCAGCAGCGTCTACTAATAGCGAATCTTTAAGCGTCTACTTAGGGCTGCACGATTATGACAAAAATCATAATTGTCGATTATCACAATTTACATTGAATGATGTTTATACCATTGTTTGATGCAACTGCATGCCGTATTTTTATATGAAAATAAACAAGCTGAAAACACTCTATTTTTGCAAATAAATAAATCAAATTATATACATTATTTTATTTGTAAATAATATAAATAAATATAATATTTTTGCAAATTAATAAACAACATATTATACATTATTTTATTTATAAATAATATAAATAAAATATAAAAATAATATAAGTATAAAATAATCTAAATAAAATAGGCAATGCGATACTGTATGTTTAAAATATATATATATAGACCATCTAAACCAGATTGAACCATTTTAAACCAGTCTCTCAGTGTCTTTAGTTTTGGTATTTTGCATTATGTATTGACTGTGTGTTTGTTTTGTTTTGTTTCTCTTTCCCCTTTCGCACTCACTCACACACACACACACTCACACACACACATACAGACACACACACACACACAGGCACACACACGTTTTATCCGTCAGATCGCTGTGTTTGTCATGACAGCGTTCTGTATTAATCAGCCTCCATGTTTTTTACATTCCAGTAGAGGAAGGTTAATTTTTCATACGCTGTCAGATGGTTTAGTACAGAGGTGAATAAATCGTCTTTGCTGACGCGCCAGAAACCAGATTCAAGCCACACGAGCTGATCTGAGCACAAATCAGCTCTTTTTGGGAGATATTTGCACTGAATGCACAGCCACCTCCACACACAATCACCACTGCATGAGCTATTAAAATTACACCGTCTCATATCCGGTGACCACAGAAGGGTTTAGTAGTAGATCACACACACACACACACACACACACACACACACACACAGAGTCTCATGGCGATGCATCGGGCCATGTGGTTCCCGCCGCGTGCCGTGAGCTGAGTCGCACCGCTCGTCAACGATTACGTAATTGTGGCATCCATAATTGTAATCGCGATTAGAAATTCGATTAATTGTGCAGCCCTGTGTCTACTAATAGTGAATCTTTAAGTTGAACTGCTTCCCTACGGAGAAATGTCATGTAGCTTTTCAGCTGCGAAACTATTTTATTGATAAATTCGCGGGGCGGCTTTGACGACACGTTTCTGTCCGCGTGTGCGCGCGCGTCTGTGAGAGAGAACCGGAGAAAGCGTGATTTCCGTACATAAAAACAAGGTGGAAGACATGGAAATAGTTTGTAATTGTTTACCCTATCTGTTATATTTATATGCTCAATGTCTTCTGGTGTTTTGGTTCTTTTACTGTTGTGGATAGCCCATAGTATAACAAAATATTATATATCTCTTCATTGTGCTTGGGCCTCTCTGGACGAGCGAGCATAGGCACGTGCCTAGAACGCCTATGAGTAAATCCGGCCCTGCTCACAAGGGAGCTCACTAGATTTTGGGGGTTTCTGAAGCTGTGACAGCCTTAATAGATGTCTATTTGGGAAGCTACTCTAATATAGCTAGTCATTAGGGCACACACACGTTTTATCCGTCAGATCGCTGTGTTTGTCATGACAGCGTTCTGTATTAATCAGCCTCCATGTTTTTTACATTCCAGTAGAGGAAGGTTAATTTTTCATACGCTGTCAGATGGTTTAGTACAGAGGTGAATAAATCGTCTTTGCTGACGCGCCAGAAACCAGATTCAAGCCACACGAGCTGATCTGAGCACAAATCAGCTCTTTTTGGGAGATATTTGCACTGAATGCACAGCCACCTCCACACACAATCACCACTGCATGAGCTATTAAAATTACACCGTCTCATATCCGGTGACCACAGAAGGGTTTAGTAGTAGATCACACACACACACACACACACACACACACACACACACAGAGTCTCATGGCGATGCATCGGGCCATGTGGTTCCCGCCGCGTGCCGTGAGCTGAGTCGCACCGCTCGTCGCCGTAGCAGGACCCCGGGGCTGTCACCCTGTCGGAGCCGCAGCAGCAGCCGGCGGCGGCGGGGCGGGAAGCCATGGCCTCGTCTGTGCGCTTCACCGTCACGCCGACCAAAGCCGAGGACCTGCCGGACACGTCTCCAGACGTCAGCTCGCGCTCCAGCGGCAGGGTCCGCTTCGGCTCCAGGGAGAGCGTGATCCGCAGCGAGGCGTCCGGAGGGGTCACGACCTCGGCGGGGGCCGACACGCCAGACCGCAGTCACCTCGAGCACGGTGAGACTCGCTCTGTTTCTGCAGCTGTCTCGTCCTTCACTGAGTGTGACGTTAGATGATGAGTGACTGAGAGTGCATGTCTGTGATAAAGCAGCTCAGTGTTTCACACAGATACTGGCTGCTGCTTCGCTGGATATGATCTGATTATACGGCCCTATGAAATCAGTTTTATTTTGTTACAAATTCCGGTGAATTTTTTTCCAAATTATGTTTTTGCCTTTTTAATTTTTCTAGATTACATTTTTTTTCTTCGTTTAAATTTTTCTAGACTCTCTTTTAATGTTTAAGTTAAATTGTATTCACCAGAGCATGTCTAATTAATTGAAATCATGAAACTTACAATATTAAACCGCAATTTATTAAAAGTTTAACAAAAATAAAATTAAGGCCCTATGAAATTTTTTTCTCAAATTCAGTTTTATTTTTTACCAAGTTCTTGGTAAATTGCATTTTAATGGTATAATTAAATAGTAATAATCAAAAGCATCTCTAATTAATTGATTTTATTAAAAAATAATTTATTATTATTTTATTTCTTTCTTTTTTTACAGAAATACTGTGTTGTGTATTTTCATTTTTTCTGCTGAATAAATTCTGGTAAAGAATTTTTCTGGTAAATATTCCTTTAAAAATAACGTTTTAATAATAATTTTATTATTTATCACTACATTAACTAATATTTGTGTCACAGTTTCTTCAAGTTAAACTGGACTTTTATTTTGACGGGTTGCTGTGAAGGCCTTTTCTGTGTGTATGTGATATGATGATAGTTTTACTCAAAAGAAACAGTAAAATGCTCATGAAGTGACTCTCTGGAGATTATGTTCATGTGTTGATTTAAGTGTACTGACCTACTTTTGATTTATTCATCTAAAATTTGGCAAATTATGTGACATTATACAGTAAATTCCATTTTTATGACTATGATTAGTCACTATGATTGATCTTTACACAAGCGCACATCCGAGATTTTCAAGGTTCCTGCTGGTCCTTAAAACTTTTCAATTCAATTTGATCGAATTTACGGTCATAAAAAGTCTTAAATTGTATAACACACATCTTAATGATCATTTAAGAGGTCTTACATTTGGGAGCAGGTTAAGTCCTACTGCGGTTAAGCTTGTGATGCATGATTTTTTAAATTCAATTTTAAATAAATTAAATATTTATACTTTTAAAAAAAAAGATGCAACTAAAAATGGTAACATCTAAATTAACTGGTCAAAAACATTATTAAATATCACAGAATCAGCTCAAATACACTTATTTATAACAACAAAACCAATTTTTTGGGTTAAATCAAGTAGAAATAACTCATGAAGGTAACAGTTGCCAATTTTTGCAGTGTGATTAAAATAATTAAATCAGTGTTATAGTATTTATTAATATTTTGAAAGCTTTTATCTTCAAATATTAAATATTAGATTTATTTATTTCAGTTTTAGTTTGAGTAATTTTATTACTTTGGCTTATTTCATTTCAATTATTTGCCATGGTAACGTTTCTAATTTGTGTTTTGGTTTCGTATGACGTTTTTCATCTAATATATATATTTTATTTCAACTTTAAAATAACAACAATTGTTTTAAGTGGTTTTAGTTGTAGTTAGCACTGATCTTCATTTTTTTTTTTCTCACGGAAAACAAGAAAATAATGATTTCATATCTAATATGTAATTTAATTAATAGTTTCAAATGATTACTTTTGAGATAGTTACACATCTGTAGTGTTCGCATGTACCAGAGTTAAACTCCAAACGCTGTGAATGAAATAATCTGCACATTTCAATACAAATGCGACTCTGTTGCTCTTTCTACATGATGGCACTTTCAGAGCAGGTCGCGATTAATGAATATCGCACATTTATGACAAATTATTCTTATGATTTAAAGGTGACAGCCATTTCAAAATTAGAGTCCTGGTGTATTTCCTGCTTGTTAATAATTAAAAATAGTGCATTATGCCTAAAATCGTAATTTTATTATTAATAATATAATAAAATAGAGTATATTATATTATTATTATTGGCATTTTACTCGCACAGTAAGCTTTATCTAGCATTTAATTCACCGTAAACTCTTGTAGGAAAGATTAAGAACCTTTATTTTTTAACACATAAGTATTTAGATTTTACGTATCAGTAAAGTATACTAGAAGTCCATACTGCGCAGTAAGCAGCACGCCGTGTCCCTAAAGAGGGTGTGACTCACAGTGTGCAACATCATCATTATGAAACGGGAAGTTCCTTTCAGATAAGTTATGTAATTCTGACTGTCATGTGAGTTTAGCTGCAACACTCCCTAATGTACAGAAAACACACACACACACACACAGATGAGAAACGTGCGTGAAGGTTTGGCACAATCACACACACTTACTAGTCATTATGTTGCTTTAAGAGCTTCACATGTAGATGACACGCCTCAGTGAATAATGCAGTGACACAGCGACAGGTGTGTGTGTGTGTGTGCAATCTCATGCAAATGTTAATTATCTGTGAGTGAATGGCTTTATTTGGGGACAAGTGTTAGAGCTCAATGCCGCAAAAAATAAAATATTTGCCTTTATAATTGATTTTGATCTATGTTATCTTGTATTCTAATAAATAAGTTTAATGACACCAATATTTTAGATACCAATTAAATTTTACAATTCTTGATTTAAATTTCGATACAACAGCAAAAACTACTAGCCTGACAAATGTAAAGTTCAGTGATTATTAAAGACACGTGAACTGTTGGTAAATAAGAACAAATGAACAAATTACAAACAATAACACCACTGAAAATATAGAACAAAGAAACTAATGAAATGATTTAGGATTTTATGTTTGTAGGTGTTCAGGTACAGAAATTGAATAATCACATATAAAATAACATTTCCATATTCTTCACTGTGTTGCACCTTGATTTTTCATAGCCATTTGAAATGAGTGGTAACCACTGCATTTTAATCATCAATCGATCCAAAAAATTGATTTAAATTAGACTGTGTAAATTTAAAATTTGTAGCAAAAACAGAACGGTCTGACTTTAGCTTTGTGAAATTATGCTACATAAAACACCTGCATGAAACCGAAACAGCAGACGGACTGAAAGAGACGCAGATTCACTCTCTGCCAGCAGGTGGCGCTCATGAACAGCAGCGTTTCCTTGGTTACTGCTGTACACAAAGCAGCGCTGTGCATATTAGCACTACTTTAAATGCATTATACCCAGCCAAGATGCAAAGGAAACGCCATGTAAACTTTTCTGAAAACAGTCAGTTCCCCTCAGAAACACATCCTTATAAAATTCAATATTTAGGATTTTCTTCCTATATTTCGCAGTGATCTTGCTTTGCCAGCTACAGTTTGTTCTCCTCTTTGCGTCCGTCTTCAGCGTCTCTGGCCTTTGTTAACGGCCGTTTACAGACTAAATATAATAATAATGAATTATTTCCACATAAATTACATTTTGAAAAAATGGGTGCATCTCTACTCCACTGTATAAATTAAATATAGATTAATCATTGTTAAAGCTACAATGTTACTCACCAAGATGGGTATTTTGACACATTTTTGTATGTATTTGTCCGTTCAAGCGCAAGAGAGATGCGGAAAGAAACTCAACTCGGGGCTCGGGTGTCAGCGCGTTGAACACACAGAACAGTGCTCGAGTACTGAATGGAGTTGTATTTCGCGCCTTGTTGGAATGCTTTTAAATTGCTTGATTTTTTTTTTAATTAACAAGGCTTAAAAACAGATGCAAATTATAAACTTTTTGTGAAGCTGTTCCGGTGCCTGAACAGATACTTATTAAAAAAAAAAAATTTAAATAAATAAAAATTCCCCAAAAAATGATGGATTGGCCATTAGCACTATAAACACACGATGTCTGTTTCATTCATACTGGACACCAGAGGGCGCCCTCGCACAGAAAATCCACACATCCAGTCACAGAAGTAGAGAACTCAAGACCCTCCAGGAAATCCCTTATATGGACAAAGGCATCGCTATTAAATTAAATTAAATTTATGCTATTAAATTAAATTAAATTTATGCATTTAGCAGACGCTTTTATGCGACATACAGTGCATTCAGGGTATACATTTTTTTTATCAGTATGTGTGTTCCCTGGGAATTGAACCCACAACCTTTGCGCTACTAACGCAATGCTCTACCACTGAGCCACAGGAACATGCTATTATCGCTGTAACTGAGTAAACAGAACATATAAACGTTTTGAATGATAAAACAAAGACAATAAACACTCGACTGCGACAATATAGTTTATCTGTGTTATTCAAGCCATCTCTGGTATTTTCATCATAATTAAGTATATATATATAATCCATTGCTAATCGATGTATTCTTTTTAAAGTAGCCTATGGAACATATTTTCTGCCTCGTTCTGTAAATGATCAAACAGTAAAACGGTTATAATGTTCTCTTTTGTTGGACAACAGGTTTAGGTCCCGAGCGTCTTTCACGCTGGCCCCGGGCCATCGGGCAGTCCTTATTGTCGAGCCCTGGGTGTGTTACTGTAAATATGATTGATTCTTTCAGTGCATGCGGTCACACATATACACAGACTTCCTGTTGGTCTGTCGCTGTGGTGATATTGGGGAAAAAAATGTATTATTACGAAATAGAAATTAGAAATGTAATAATAGAAATGCATAACTTTTCACAGTTTTCATAGTTTGTTATGTTGATGCAGTTTATATTTGACATATTAATATGTTTATACATTTAAAAATATGATATATAGTTGTAACATTTCATAGTGCCCTATTATTGTAAAAAATAAAAAAATAAGTTTTTATTTGGATGTATGAATTCAGTTAATTACAGATGCTTTTTGATTGATTGATTGATTGATTTTTTTTTTTTTTTGATGATTAAATTTAATTAAACCATTAAAACGGAATCCTGAAAAATTAAAATGAAAAATACAGAATTGAATTAGGTAAACGGGTAAATATAAAACGGAATTTAAGAAAAACTAAAACATAAAGATTTTTTAAAAATTGTTTGTGTTATGATTTCAATTAATTAGACATGCTTTTTATTACTAAAATTTAATTTAATTATTAAAACAGAGAACAGAAAAATTAAAATGGAAGGGAAAAAAAACTGAATTTGTGAAAAAATAAAAGAGGGCCTTATGTTTGCGGAGGGTGTCGTTATTTTGTTATTTTTGAGTGTGACAGGAAGCGAACGCTGTAGGTGTGTGTGTGTGTGTGTGAATGACTGAGTGTGTGTGTGTCTGTGTGAGTGTGTGTGTGTGTGTGTGTGTCTGTGAGTGTGTGTGTGTGAGTGAGTGAGTGAATGTGTGTGTGTGTGTGTGTGTATGAATGACTGAATGT